TTTTGGGAACAAATTCCGCAACTTTTTTCTTTAAAAGATTACTCTAATTTTATAAAACAAAGCATAAACAAATCGGTCTTTTTTTTTTTGCCGTGAAAATGAGGATGTCACAGTTGATCCTATGGTTGACTTCAAGGTAATAGTGCAATGGATTAACTCTTTTGTTGGTTACCAATTCAAGTGACTAGATTCGCATTCACTACACTAATCCTTAGTGAATAAACTAACTCAAACAGTGATCAGTTGTCTAATTTAATTCAATTCACTAGATTAATTATTCGGATTACTTTAGACTTACAATAGTTAACTAATTTGGCTTTTAATTAACTTCTTGTTGATGGTCATCACACAAGCTTGCACATGGATTTACTTAATTTTCTTGTTAATTCTAGTTTCATGTTCATTAATCCTAGACATATAACAAAGTGGTCACATGGCATATGAGGTTGATAATCAAACAATGTTCATGCTATTTAATTACCTTCCTATTAACAGAAAATTAATTATCATTCACACACAAGGTTCTTTAGCAAGCTAAAATAACAAAAATCACCAACATTGAATTAATCCTACCAATAATCAAACCATAGTCTCAATTTTGTATCCCCAAACAGAAGTTTAAGAGTTTTAGCTCATGATTGAATTAAATAACAGCAAACAAATGAATTCTAATTGTCTAGCCATAATGGAAAACAAAAGATTAAGTAGAATGATGAAATTTGCCTCAAATCTCCTTCGGGATTGAATTGTAGCTTCTATCTTCGTCTTCTAGGGTTTCTCTGGCCTCTTAATCGCAACTAAACTCTCCAGAATCGTTCCAGAAGTTTTTTTTTTATCGATCTGAGAAGTTATCTTTATATACACGCAACGACTCGTCGAGTCAGGTACCGACTCATCGAGTCCATCTCACAATCCCCGTATGTGATAAGTATATGGGTTTCCGAGTCGTTATCTTCTCGAATCTTCACCTGGACTCACCGAGTAGGTGTTATTTTTGGTGTTTTTCTTCTTTATTCAATTCCCGAGCTCCTAACCGCTTTTCCTGCTTCCTTTTGCTTCCGAGCTTCATTTTTGGACTGAAAATACAATTCAAACACTTTTAAGTACCTTTTGTCCATTAAATGAAATAATTTAGCTAATAAATGAATAAAAATCTATACTTAATATAAACTAAATATGCACATATCACTAGTACTGAGAAAAACTAACAAGATCTAGTATAATCCCTTTTACCTTATTTATTTAACTAAAACAATCTCTTCAATTAACCCTAACTATTTACTGTTCAATTAAATAAGCTCTTAATTAAATTAGAAAAGTTGCATTATAATCTATGTAAAATTCTCAGCAATATCCAATACTTCTCACAAACTCGAAAGCGTAAAGATATAATTTTTACATTTTATAATAAAGTCAAATCCCAAAAACGGAACCGATTTATTACTTGTTACTTATTGCCAATTAACAAGAACAATTACATATTCTATAACTAATTAACTGAAATGATAAAACCCTAAGCTCCATTTTAACTTTAGATTGCATATTCTATCTTCGTGTGATCAGTTCGATCAAATGTTTCTTGACCAAAGCATCTTCCAAGCATTCCTTATAATCCTTCATAAGTTCTAAGCTCCATTTTAAACTCCAAACGATCATCCAACTGCTCACAAAGCACTGCTCCACTCGAACTATCTGGAATTGGCATAAAAACATGAGCAGTACGGGAATTCTAACAAAATATATGAGCTGAACATTATTTATCTAAATGACATGCAAATGTACAAAATATGATGCTAGAATGATAATGAAAACTATTCTAAAAGATACATAAAATGGCATCTAATAGTGTGTCCAAATCCCTCAAACCAGGGCTCTGATGCCAACTTGAAACATCCTAAAATTCAAGACCAAAAATTTCATTTTTAATTAAGTTATTATAAAACCAACAATATAAAAAAAATCATAATAACATCACATGTCAAAACCAAAGTGCCAATAATCAAACATGTTATCATATGACAATATCAGAGTGTAGTCCTAAGGATCTCATATGCGGAAAACATAGTGTGATGCGTTGCGATCGCCGACTCCTTTCCTTTGAAAATGAAGTACCTGAAACCAAAACTCAAAACCATAAGCACGAATCTTAGTGAGTTCCTCAAACACCACATACCATACATATCAACATGTTGCCTACCATATATGGGTGCTGGTCTACCCTTCAGTCTCTTTCAACCGGATACTACCATACATAACTGTGAGACATAAAAAACAATCTTGTATCATAATCAAATAAAATGCTATGTGACAAAACATAGTGTTGCCATTATGCCATGGGCTACCACGTGGTCTTTCTTGCCAAGCTGGGGGCCACCTCTTCGGTCTTACAGACAAGTGCCAAGAGCCACCTCCTGGTCTTCCATGCAAGCATCACAAAGACAACTAGCATATATATATATATATATATATATATATATATATATATATATATATATGTGTGTGTGTGTGTGTGTGTATATATATATATATATATGTATATATATATATATATATTGTTCTACTTAGCTAATCAGCATATAGTGTTCCAAGAGCCACCTCCTGGTCTTTCATACATATTGCCTAGGGCTAACCCCCGGGTCTTCCTACCATACATAATAGTATACAGTGTGCCAGAATTCGCCTCTTGGTCTTTCATACATAATGCCTAGGGCTAACCCCCAGGTATTCCTACCATACATAAACTAAATGGGTTGGCATTGGTACCTTAGAACCATACAAATAGTGAGGAAACTCACCCCGCATTGCTGAAGTCCCGCGAATAAATCCCTGGCTGCTGGCTGACAGATCCCCAAACTATAAATCATCAAAACAACACCCAATTAATGATTGGGTTTCAAATGCATAACCATAAGTCCATACTTGGGGTAAAAAAAACCATTTTACACCATAACCTAGCTTGATCCAAAGCCAAGGCCCAAACTCAAACTTTGGAGGCCCAAAAGCCAAATAATAATTGAAGGCCCAGTATATGGCCCAATTTTCCAAATTGGACCCAAACACCTTACATGGGCCTTACCCTAAAGCACATCCATATATCATATCCATTTACCTGCTCTCAGATAGCCCAACAAAACCCAAACATCTAGGCCTAAAAGGAAGGCCCAACTCAAAGCCCAAACGGAATTAGGGTTTCACATAAAATGACGATTAGAGTTAAGTGTTCTTACTTAACCCATTAAGGACTTAATTTATTAATTTCAGTATTGCGTTAAGTTAATTTTAAAGGATTAATATATAATATTTTAAGTCTCATAAATAACTTCAATGCGGGTCCCGTTAACTTCCAAATTAGGGTTCATGACACTAGGGCTTTCTAAACACTAATTAGGGTTTACAACTCATAAATTAGTTAATTAGTTAATTAATTAAATATATATGTTTTTATAAATCGGGCACCACCCACTGCCACCTCGGGCAATGGTGGTCGGTGGCGGGTTGCGGCAACCACCATTCTTATGGCGGGAGTTATTAATTCTGGGTCCAAACGCACACACACAAGCACACAGCCACCCCAAAATGGCGGCTGGTGACGAAAAATGGTGGCATGAGGTGGCAACCACCACCTCATGGTGGTGGTGGTGGGGTTTTTCATAGATTTTTCGGCCATGGGTTTGATCCTTCACCTTCATAATAATAACACACACATTCTCACAAAGAACACACACACAACCACCTTCCACGGTGGCTGGTGGTGGCAGAATGACATAACCGATGACAACCACCATGGTTGGCGACCATGGTGACCCTTGCGCTTTCCAGCCGATAATTCACCCACAACCCGTGATACCTTTTGAAACACGCATACACACAATGACATGGCTGAAAATACGAACACATACTCATCCGAAACACACACAACACGCCCACTCTTATGGTGATATGCGGTGGTCGGAGAGAATATCATCAAAATATGATAGCCGACAGAGCGGCGATGGCGACGGACGCGAGGAACGACAGAGTAGCGAAGGAGGTGGAAGAGTTCACCATTACCGGAGAAGATAGAGGCAACAATGGCCCCCGATGTCGACCTTAAATTATGACTTCGTCGGCAGCAAGGCAGGAACGACAGTGCTCAACTTGCTTGGCGGCTTACGACGACGGTAAGAACTCGACACGGCAACGGTGGCGACCTGGTCGGATCGGAAAAACGAGAAGGAGGGAGGTGGCGGCTGGGGAGTCACAAGGTGGTGTCAACTGCTTGATATGAGAGTAGGGTTAGGGTTTCCCTTGAGACGCTTCTTTAAATGGGTAGGGACGTATCGGGTTTAATCCCGTCCCATGCTTCCAAACATCATACGAAATTAACATAACTGGTCCCTCCCACACATAAATGTTTTCATAATAAGTCCTAATAATTACTAAGCAACCCCTGTCTTCAAAAATCCTTTCAAATTAAACCCATAATTTACTAAACAACTCTCAACCTTCAAAATTCTTTACAAACCAATCCAGAATTTACATTTTAGCCCCCAAACTCTAAATTATGGCTTTTAGCTCCCGAAGACCAACATCCCGCTAACTATTATGGATTTTAGGGCTACTATTCATCCATTAATTTTATCTATTTTTTTATTTAATAAATAGGATGTTACAATGCTACTTAAAAATTGTTTGTGGACCATATAACAACTCATGCATGATATTATATTATTAGGGGACCATATAACTTGCATTCTCTGGGAACCATATAACAATTCATGCAGTATACTATCAAGGAACCCATAAAGAAATGTTAAAACAAAATAGAAACCCAAGCTTTCGGTTATACAGTTAGTCCATACAAAAGGTGTTACATGACCATACGTAATGGGGCTAAAGTACAATGCCTATACTAAATTGTCAAAAGTATCATCATTCCATATACCACCATTACACCATCAAACAACCATATACACCCTGCATCACTTCACACAACTTTAACTTGATTTCCAAATACCAAATCACCCAAAAGAGCATTCCTATATGCACCATGACCCAAAAACCACCTATACACCATGACTCGAACATTTTACATCGCCTAGACTAGCTTAAAGTACATGACCACAAACAACAAACATACCAGAGCAATCAAAACAACCTTTTTCAACATCTTCTTCAGAATTTGAGTCTCAATGAGTAGTTCCTGGATCCTAGCCTCAACAAGTTCCTTCTCAGCTTTCTTAAGAAGCTTGTGCTTCTCAACCTTCTTCTGCAGCTTAACAACTTGATCATTCCTTACCAAGAGGTAGTCGATCCTAAGTTTCATGTTCCATAATGTATCCTTGTAGTGTTTGGGTAATGTTGGGTCAAGCCACTGGAAGAAGTTGCAACTATTTTTGGATATCTAAAAAAGTAACCCACACACTAAAAAAAGTGTTTTACTGTTCATAAATTAGGGGTTTCTCATTGTATATTGGGGGGGGGGGGGGGGGGTGATCAAAATGGGGGTTTGCAGTAGCAAAATCAAAACTTTAGGGTTAAAAGTTATCGACTATAAATGAAGGATAGCTTACCATTGATTTTGCGCAATTATAGAAGCGATGAGCTGGGTTGTTAGGCTTCCAAGCTTCTCTAAACTTTGACCTAGGCTGATCACGACACAAGCAGGGAGGATTCACTTCAACACGGTAAATGGCGACATTGCTATATGATTCGGAGGAGGAAGACATCGTCGAAAAGGTTGGTGTTCGTCAGAGGGTAAGGAAATAGTGAGATTGGATCTATTGAACCCTTACGAAGCTATGTAGTATGCTAACTAGACACCCAGTTGGATTATATAGACCACGTCACATATAAGTTTCGTTGACCAACCGGATAACCGGTAATAAAATGAAGAAAACCTAATTTTTGCCGGTAAATTGTCGTTTTAGTGGGGTCATAGATACGAAAATTAGTTGAATGACCTTTTTAAAACCAAATAGAAAACATTATTGTGTTTCTATGTCAATAACCCTAACTAATTTATTTAATTTAAACATTTGACTTGTTAGAGAAACTTATAAAGTAAATCAATTCGTTTATAGGTATATAAGTATAGTTATTAAAATTATGATTTGCCTAATCTTTTCCAATATAATTGGATTTTTGATCTTTGAAAACGATATGAAAACGTATTTTGATAAAGTCATTTCATTCGAGAAGAAAATTGAACATTCAATTAGAAAAAGACATTGAGTTTCTAGATCTGAAAACTCAAGTCAAATAGTCGTATGTGTTTCTCTTCTAGCATAAAATAAATATGAAAATCAAGTTTATAGTGTGTTATCGTCGTGTTTGCTATCTTTAGTTAAATTTACACTGATTTCGTTTTTTTTTTAAACGCAAGCAGCAAGCTAATCTTCTGCACGTTTTTTACCTTTAACATGCTTCATTTTTCTTTTTGATATTTTGATTTCAAATCTTTGTTCTTAGTCAAGAAAGATTATATAAATAACAAAAACCAGTCATTAAACAGAAAGAAGTAAAAAATGGATAAAGCTAAAAGTATTATATCACAAAAATAATCAAACCAATATTAGAAACGTTGCTACACTTGTGTCTTTTTGATATCAATGTAAGCAACTTTTTCCGACAAAAGTGCTAATGTTTTCAATTGTCACCGTTTGGTTTCACACTTTTTCGCGACCAAAATACCGCTAGGAGGACCACTCACTACAAATTTGCAGTGGCCATATAACCAATACGAGTATCGAAAAAACCCACCAAGATTTGACGTTGTACGAAGGAAACTCTTTGCTTCAAACATAATCCTCCCGGTTTGTATCTGCTCATTTAATTGTGCCACATGTCTTCTGGAAAACGGGATCTGGCTGCTTACCATATGAACATCCCTAAGCTTATAACCTTTAGGCGAAACTGATAAAGGTTCTACATATCGAGCAGCAATTAAAGTACCTTCAAAATAAAGATTAATGACCATATAACGGAATTCCACATTCACTTTCTTGTTCGGATTTGTAAAATTTGCTAGCAAAGTCATGTCCCCATTAAGCAGATAACCAAGATCAAGATACGCCGCATTGAGGCTCGCGCTCGTGATATCAAACTTCGGGTAGTGTGGACGGTACGCAAGGTAGACAATCAGTAGAATCAAGCCACCCAGTATTATAATAATCCAGAAAAAAACACAACATATCGCGACTAGCCATGTTAGGCGCTTGGTTCTCCGTTGTGGTGGGACATGTAGTGATGGTGAAGGGTAGTGGGGAACACCGAAGCGTTGGTGACTAATAGGCGACGGACGCGAATGTTGTGGGGCCCTTGCAGGTACAGTTACTGGAAGTGGTACTTGTACTGGAAGTGGTACTGGTAAATGAGAATCTGGTCGTTGTGAGCGTGGTAAGATTGGAACCGTTGGAGATGGAGAAGGTGGGGATGGTTTGAACCGTGTCGGAAGGGTTGAACCGTCTGTGTGTTCATTGGTTTGGGCGGGCCGTTGGATCCGTGGCTGAAAATGTGGGTTGGTTTCGCGTGGCTGAAACATGGGTGGGTGAGTCGAAGTGATTGAGTACGAAAATGTGGATGGTGCACAAGTTATGAATATTTGTGGTGACTTGAAGCTAAGTAAATAAAAAAGCAAAGAATCAAAGAATTTGTTAGCCAAAGAAGGCAAGTAATGTAACTGATACCCAAGCTTTTTAGGGACCAAATTACTCTGTTTATATCTTAAATACTGCCATTTATGGATACGAAAGAAATAGGGTCCATAATAGTTATACAAACTATTTGTTTCATGTAATGTATCAATAATAATAATAATAATAAATTATTCTACATATCAATATTACAAAAAAAAAAAAAAAAAACAAAAAACAAAAACAAAAAACAAAAAACAAAAACAAAAACAAAAAAAGAAAAAATATGTGAATACCTTGTGAATTATCTAATTAGTCTGTTCCTGTTTTACACAAATTTAGATTTTTATTTCTAAATTTGGTATTGTGTTTGCTTCGTGTTCGGTTTACTAACATTACTAAAGTTATTATTTTATTTTATTAAATGAAGATATTTATTTTCAATCTTAAGTAAGGTTGTTCCTTTATGTTTTGTTATGAGAACAAATCATATGAAACTGCGTTAGAATAATTGCACGAAGGCTTGATATCGATTTTCGTTCCTTGTCGGTTCATATCTTAAAAAATCTTATATATTACTAATTTTTTTTTCGATTACACTTAAACTTTTTTTTTTTTTTTCTGAAAAATACCTTTTATATATATATATATATATATATATATATATATATATATATATATATATATATATATATATATATATATATATTTTTTTTTTTTTTGATTTTACCATTTTATCAGTTTTGTTTCCCAAAAACATTTGTCCAATGTAAAAAAAAATCAGAAAAGAAAAACCAAATGTTGAGGGTCTTTTTTGAAAAAAAAAAGGTTATAAGGTTGGGGTTGATGAAAATAAAAAATAAAAAAAATAAAAAAATAAAAAACCCTTCACTCACATACATATCACATTAGGGGTGCACTAACAGTGGTGCACAATATATATATATATATATATATATATATATATATATATATATATATATATATATATATATATATACTAGTCGTCTACCCGCGCAAAGCGGCGGACGGCGAATAATTTGATCTTTTTAGAGTTAAAACCATTTTGCGTTCACTTCGAGAAATGAATATTAAATGACATCTATTTTTCAAGAGCATTATCATACCATATTAAGGGGGTGTTTGGTTAAGCTTTTTTTAAAACAACTTATTAGATTCCACATCACTATAAGTTAAAAAAATGTTTGGATTAAAATAACTTATTCCGGTGGGGAACCTCTAATACGTCATTTTTTCATAAGTTACCCTACACTTACTTATTAACTTATAAGCTAATAACTTAATAAGCAATAAGCTTTTTAGCCAAACACCCCATAAATGGTTATTACTTCCATTTATACATACCCAAACCACTTGTATTGTTTATCGTCCTCTCTTTTTTTTCGTTTTCCTTAATTCCTTTATTAATTTAATATCCTACTAAGTAAAATGTTAAAATATATAAATAATAGTTTATAAAAATAAACCTTTAGAATATTAGGTGTTGTGATTCAAAAGTATATAAATAAGCCTTTGAGAAGGCCAAAATACTCAGGTGTCAATTTGTTCATTGTGATTTTAAACCAAGTTTGATCACAAATTAAAACATTTTCAACGATGGTATGTAATTCAAGGATTCATATTGATTTAGGTTCTCGAAACCTTAAAATATTGAACAAAATCTATATAGAACCTTATAATAAGGACAATAATCACCGTAATCAGGAACTCCATGTGATGAAACTTGATATTATAAGGACTAATGATGAAAAAGGTTTCATTTTTAGACTAAACAAAATGAAAAATATACAAACTACCGTAATCATGTCAAATCTTGTGTTTAACCGTTTGTTATTGCAAAAGTAAGATACCAAAAATATACAAACGAATGATCATACAATGCTCTAACTAGCCCTCTTTGTTGAGTTCTTTGAACCTGCAAAGCCAACACATAAAATAAACATAGTAAAAACCTTTTTAGAAACAAACCTGATTTTTAGAAACAAACCTGATATAATAAAGCCTTCACCCAATATATTTATAAGATAAAAATACAAAAAGTTAAAAATGATGAAATTAATTACAAGTAAGGATTAAAATAAAAATCTGTTAAGAAAGAGCTGTATGCAGGAGGAATATTTGAATCAACATGTATTTTCTGGTGATTTCAAATTTTGAATTATCCGAAATTCAGGGACGGAGATAGAATTTGTTGAGAAATATAAGGATTTAAAACACATGTTAAAATTTAATATTATTTTATTGATGATTACGTGTACTATTAGCTTAATAATTTGAACGTCTTAAAAAAAATATTATTATATTCAATCTATTTTTAGAAATAGTGGAATTTCTTTTATGAGATAGTAAAGATATATGATCAAGAATTAGGAGTGACAATTGATAACACGACAGGGAAAAATATACGAAACGAAACAAAATTAAGATGAAACTGAAATTCGAATTTGTGTTCGTGTCAAGTATAAAAAACACGACGTTATGTTGTATCGTGTTCGTGTTCAAAATTTAATACGAAATTGATACAATTTAGCATTTGTCTTTCGTCTTTGTCGTGTTATATATTCTTAAGTATTAATTAAATAAACTAATTTTTATTTTATTTTATCTTTATCGTGTCGTGTCGTGTTTGTCGTTTTTTAATCGGTTCGTTTTCGTGTTAGTTAAAAAAAGCACGACATCGTCTCATGTCATGTTCGTGTTACTTAAAACTTTATCGCGTCATGTCGTATCAGACAAAAATACGATACGATGACCCGATTTGACACCCCTAAAAAAATTGCATCGGTTCTTTTTAGAAACAACATAAAGTTAAGTGTAATATGTAGGGGTGTTCGCGGTGCGGTTTGGTGCGGTTTACAGTCAAAACCGCAGACCGCACCACATATGCGGTTTGAGATTTTTGGAAACCACGAACCGCACCGCGAAAGGTGTAAACCGTGGTTTGCGGTGCGGTTTGTTGCGGGCGGTTTTGCGGTTTCAGTGCGGTTTTTGCAATTTGATTTGTTGTTAAACTTTGAATCTATTTTCAAACGTTTGATCTAAATTAAAATTTTATATTTTATTAAAGATATACTATATTGTAATATTTTTGAACATATATATCTATGGTCATTGCTTAATACTGTCAAATCTTTATACATCTTCTTCAACATATTATATCGCAACATCTTACAACTAATATATTTATTCATGAGGTGAAGTTATAACATAATTTCTTTGTAAACGCTAATGTAATTTACCAAGAGCTAATGTAAATTGTGGTTTGTTGAAGAATCCACGTTTAATGAACTACTACAGTTTAGTTACTCGCATAATCTTACTATTACATAAGGTTTATTGATAAAATCGAACTGTTATCGATATATATATATATATATATATATATATATATATATATATATATATATATATATATATATATATATATATGCAGTGCGGTTTGAACCGTAGTTTTGAAACTAAAAACCGCTAACCGCACCATATAGTGCGGTTTATCGAAATTACGAACCGCAAACCGCACCACAAAAGATCTAAACCGCATTATGCGGTGCGGTTTGGTGCGGTGTGGGTGGTTTATGCGGTTTGTGCGGTTTGATGCACACCCCTAGTAATATGTCTAATATATAATTTTTTTTCTTTTTTACAAAATTAACCCTATTCCTAAAAAGATTTTTATTATTTTGGATGCTAGAGCTGACTTTTGACTTTAGAGTTTACATAGTCAATCTCAAGCTTACCAAAAGCCTATCAACTTACGTAGGATACACTGAATGTAATTAAATAAGCACGAAGATATTTGATTAATTTTACTTTACCAAAATTAAAATCTTACAAAAGAAACTCCTTTGGATTTGAGTAATCAAGATGTGAAATGCTCATAAACTCATAGTAGCTATTAATTTAAAGCAAATCCTCAATCATTTTTTGGCTTTGGATTGTCTTTTCTCTAGCAAAAAAAACCCAACCAATGATAGAATAGCAAAAACAGAGAAGCAAATCGATGCAATATCGATAGAAGGATGACGCCCACTAATTCCTTGAATCTTAAATAAGTTGGAGATCTTCTTATCATTTGTAGTTTGCCCATAACCTATCTCTTCATCTCCAGAATCATAAACATATGCTCTCACAAAATATGTAGCCGTTGGTAAATCTTTTTCAATCGTCCATTCAAATTGTTGACTCATGTTTTGCTGATGATCATATGGTTTTTCCCATATAGTAAACTGACATGTTTTGTCTTTCTTTATATTGTCTACTGTCTTCCTCCATTTTCTGTCCACTTGACTAATTGGTGCATAACAAAGCTTCACCTTCACAAACTTGTATGATTCATCGGTTTGGTTTGCAATACTACCGTTCAATCCAAAGGATACTGTTATATTATCTTCTCCAGCTTGTAGAACTGCAAGTTGCATGATTATTATAAGTTATATATAGACCTTAGAATAATCAAATATATATGAGCCAAAACATGTAACTAAGTTTATGATGAGTGTAAACATGTTTTACCTTGACCTTCCGTAGGAGAGGCGACAACAGAAAGAGATTGTGGCAACGATGATAACAGGACACTTCCGTTGCTAATCTTTGACATGAAGAAGAGAAGAAGAAAAGCTTTGATCATGTAAGATTTCATTTTTGAAATACAAAATGAATGAGAGAATTTGGTTTTTGAGGATGTATGAATTAATGATGTCTATTTTATGAGGTAAAGTCTGAATTGCAGTGTGAAGTCAAGATTGTCACCTATCAGACTTTAATGGCAATAGGCGATTAGGCATTGTTGGCCCATGGCTAATACTTGCACTGTCAAACGTCAAAAGTCTCAATTGGCAATTGGCTTTTTGTTCTTATGTGTCATAAATTCAATGTTTTAACCTTTATATCTTCAATACATGTGGTTACAAATAACAACGAATGAAGCTAAGAAAGGTGAAACAAATCAATCCTTTTTAAGAAGAATTATAAACGCTTTAAAGTAACCGAAGGGAATATGTCTGGTGGTATTAAATGTTTTAAAATGTGTTTTTCCCTAAACGAATGATGGTTTAAATCCTGTGGTGAACAAACATTATAATTTAGGAGTCAATTTAAAAAATATGTATTAGCCATTCTAAAAGAATATGTAAAATTTTTTATTCTCCAACTCTTTTTAAGCAATATTTTTTTTCTTTGTTAAAAGACATTAAATGTTGGCATGCATACCTGATTCATCAAATCCATGTATATAGTAGGCGCATTGGTGAGCCCAATGGTAGGGGTGCAAACGAGCCGAGCAGAGCCCGAGCCTGGCCAGGCTCGGCTCGGGCTCGTTTAAGTTATATGAGGCTCGAGCTCGAGCTCGGCTCGATTCGAGCTTTCTTGTACTGAGCTCGGATCGAGCTCGTAACGAATTATCGAAGCTCGGCTCGGGCTCGGGCTCGACTCGTTTTTTATCTGACGTGCCTAAATAAGCTTAAGCTCGGCTCGAGCTCGTTAAGAAGCTCGTTTACTAATACCCTAAATCCGTAATTCCTCTAATATATTTTTATTTTAATATATATATAAATAATAATGAATTATATTATGTAAAGGCTCGTTTAGGCTTGCGAGCCTAATCAAACTTAATGACATAGGCTCGAGCTCGAGCTCGTTTAATAAACGAGCTTAATTTTAAGCTCGAGCTCGGCTTGGCTCGTTTAAAACCGATTTCGAGTCGAGTTTTTAACGATCCGATCCCGAGTAGCTCGCGAGTAGCTTGGCTCGTTTGCACCCCTACCCAATGGCATCACCATGAACTCGTAATACCCATAACGAGTCCAGAACGTAGTCTTCTCTACGTCATCCTCTCTTACTCTCACCTGATGATACCCAGACCTCAGATCTATCTTGGAGAACCAAGATGCACCCTATAACTGATCAAATACGTCATCAATTCGCGAAAGGGGATAATGGTTCTTCACCATTAACTTGTTCAACTCCCGGTAATAATTGCACATGCGGTGTGACCTATCCTTCTTCTTGACGAACAGTATCGATGCTCCCCACGGAGAACTGTTCGCTCTGATGAACTGCTTGCCTGACAGCTCCTACAGCTGAGATGACGACTCTTGCATCTCAGGTACTTCTAAGCGGTACGACGTCTTGGCAATCGGGGCCGCACCTGGCACAAGGTCAATCCTGAACTCGACCTGCCTCTCAGGAGGCACACTGAGTAATTCCCCTGTGAAAACATCAGCAAACTCCTTGACCACTGGAACCTCTGAAACTGAACCCTGATCTCCAACTCGAGTGTCAACCACATAAGCAAAATACTTTGCACCCTGCACACCCATGCTGAATATACTGACGAGCCATGGCTACCGAACATAACCCTAAACCGACCCTGGTGCCCTCTCCTTAAATAACCAGTTCTCCCCCATTTGGGATTCGAACTACCACTCACTGTCCCTCACAATCAATCATGGCACCAAACCTGCTCAATCAATCCATACCCACTATCACGAACACATCCCCCATGGGGATAAGGGTCAAATCAATCGAATAAGGCACCCCGAAGATTTGTAGTATACAACCCTAGTATACCGCAGATGCAAAAACTCTGTGAACCGAGGACGAAAACGATTTAACAACGACTAGTTTATGCCAAGTTTTATATTGGATTAAACTAGACGGCTTCCTCAAAAACTGGGTTGAACCTGTAAAAAAATAGTTTGAACCAACTTATGAGACTTAGATAGTTGGATCTCACTTAGTTATTAAAAAACAATTAATTTCCAAAGAATGTCGATAGAACCAACAGCCAAAAAGGTTAAACCAGAAACTGATCATCAGACAGGTTCAAGTGTTCAATTAAATCCAGTTTTTAGAGTAAACTAGGTAATCTGTATTCTTGGTCCCTAACTCTTTTTTTTACTCGGATGGTCCATATTATATCTTTTTGTTGCATGTTTGGTCCCTATCTACTCTAAAAAAACTATTTTGCCCTTAATAACTTTTTTTAATTTTATTAGTTCTCTTTTTATTATTCCAGTTATATTAAATAAAGTAATGTGTTAATATATTGTTGGAATAATGAACCAGCCCACATTAATCCTCTAAAGTTCCTACCACCACCTATTTTCACCATCTCCAGTAACATATCCAGTTTTCGGCACCAACTACGATCATCGTCTCTGGCTATAGATCCAATATCACATAAATTACCTAAATGTAACCTCCCGACTCCCAGGTATAATATTTAATTAATTTATATTCATTTTTTCAGAGCAACTCGACGAGTTGGAGGCCCCAACTCGTCGAGTAGAGATTTAAAATGGTCGCGTCATTTTTAGAGTCTACTCGACGAGTTGGTGGATCCCAACTCAACGAGTAGGAGCTGAGTGTGAAAACCCTAATTTTCAAGATTTATACCCTATTTAAAGAACCTTAAGCCTTTCATTCTGCTTCCCTTATCATCTTAACACACTAAGAGAAACCCTAATCGAGCTATTACCATATGTGTGTGTGAGGGGGGGAGAGAGAGTGTGAGAGGATAAGATTGTATGTTTTAGTGCATTCTTGGAAGGATGTAGAGGAGCAAAAGGCTTGGAACAAGAAGGAGCCCTTGGATCTAGTGTTCTTTCAGTGCTAGCTACTATTTGGAAGTAAAAAAGCTATCTCCTTGATCTTTGGTTGGGTTAGATCTCTTCACTAGGGAATTTATGGCCCTTTCCATCTTTTCTTGAGTCTTTTAGTTGTTTGAGCATACCATGAAGATGAGATTTCAGATCTGGAAGGTATGAGGTCCCTTGGGCCTAAAGATTCAAGCTTTATCAAGCTATTGGCCAACCTTCATGCATTAAACCCTCTATAGAGCTTTGTTTTAGCATTTTGAGCCCTAAATGCCATGCATGGACGTAAAGCTTGTAGCTTTACATGATACTTCAGCCTTAGAAGGCTAGATCTAAAGTATGGTACCTTAGTTCTGCTTAAAAACGTCTGAATGAGAGAATGGACTTAAGGGAATCGATGAGCTGATGAGCCAACTCGACGAGTTGATTAGGGTTTCCCCCGATAGTCTGGACGTGTCACAAGTCGGCGAGTTGGTGAGACAACTCAACTAGTTAAGTTGGATTTTCCCAATATTTTAGAAAAAACAAAGGAACTCGACGAGTCGCATAGATGCACTCGACGAGTTGGGTCAACATGGACTGTTGACTCAAGTGTTGACTTCTGTTAACTTTTAGGGTTTGGTCAAGATATGGATTATGGAGACCATGGAGGGGTAAAATCGTCTTTCACCCTTTCTAAGAGTTAGAAGAAGGGTTAGCTTAACATTTTAGGGTTGTTATTTTAAAGTGTTAATTAGAGATGATTATGATATGTAGGCGGAGTGTAGACCAATCGTTGAGTACGAAACCTACTTGCTTGCGTACGAGGTGAGTCCTCTCACTATACTTACCTGAGTGGTAATACTGTATGACCGGAGGGTCTTATATGCTTATACTGAGTTATTTGATATCATGCATTTGTCTTTGTGATAGATGTTGTATATTATAATGTGCCTTATTGAGTTAGGACCAGAGGGTCCAACCCGAGTTGTGAGACCAGAAGGTCTTCACTGAGACACATTTTGGAGGGTCCTTATCGAGATATAGCCATGAGAGGCTAATTATTTGCGTGTGGTATTTTAGGGAACTCACTAAGCTTCGTGCTTACAGTGTTGTGTGAAATGTGTTTCAGGTACCTCTCAGGATCGCGGGAAGGCGCCGACTTGATTGTACACACCAGCTAGAGATTATGTTTTTGAGGATTCTGGGATATTATCAACATTTTGTTGTCTTGTGCTTTGAACAACTTATACATTTTGTGTTTTGAAAAATGTGAGATTGTGTTTTATATGCTTTTAAAAAATAAAAATTTTATTTGAAAATTTAGAGTGTTACAAGTTAGTATCAGAGCTTTGGTTTGAGGGATTCGAATGTACCCTCGAGTATGTCTGGACTCAAACTGAGGATTTGAGAAAATCTTTCTAAAAAGAAATGATTTTTTTAAACGAGTAAGAGCTTTTAAGAGAAAACGAGATGAAACAGTATGTACAATCAGCCAGAGCCCAAACGGTGATTTTCCAAAATACCATTATTTGTTTATATTATGAGATACTTATGAGATATTAGAGTTGCATGCTAGAGGATATGCTAAGTATTTCAGAAAATTAGAGCTAGAGTTGTCTGATTTATAATGCCTTAACCTAAGGGATGCAATTGATTAATATTATATGCTATTTTCTCTTTATATGAGCTGAGTAGGAGTACCTAGCAGGAATCTTTTAAAGGGAGCTTTGGGTTAATGAGTAATCTGGGAAAGATACCTAGACGTGCATTGAGGAGTCTACTAACGTCAAATCGAAGATAAATACTTTAAAAATAAAAAATAGATGAAATTGTTAAAAAAAAAAAAAAAAAAAAAAAAAAAAAAAAAAAGATACAAACATGTACCCCTACACAACCATCCGAGTAATTTACTTAGGATTTTTTTTTTAAAAAATGTTGCTAATAAGACACCTATTAAACACCCTATTATCACTTTTATAAAAAAATAATCTATAACTAACTACTTATAATCAGTTTTTCGGAAAACAATATAAATTCAATCAATAAAAATATTTTGAAAATTAATTATAGTGTCTGGTTCTTTTTTAACTAGATTCACAGAAAATTATCTTATAAAAAATAACCAATATAAAGTCGACAGATCAGCTACATATAAGCCTTTTATACCCACTCTCACACCTCCCATTTCGAAAAATCCAGTGGCTACAATTCATACTTGAAACAAATCTAATAGTACGTGTTTTCCACTCTCGATCCCTCCGCGTCTCATTCACCGCACCAGTTTCCCTATACTTTCTCTCTACAAACTCCGTGAACCGCAAATTAGCAACGGTTTAGATTATTCCATTTGACCAGCACCACCACAACTACCATCTCCGCCGTACGCCGGAGACTGTGGAATGCAGTATACTATGCATGTATTGCTGTCACAACACTCATCCATATCTTTAAAGCTTGTGTTTCGTTTTTTTTAATCTGATCCTCGAGTTTCTCGGTGTATGAAATTCTAGATCTACAATGTCGAAAGTATGGGGAAATATTGGCGCCTGGGCGGCGGAAGCCGAGCGCGCCGAAGCGGAAGAGAAAGAACTAGCTGCTGCGGCGGCAGCCGCTCCACCCCAGAGCTATCCGAGCCTGAAAGAGGCGGTTAACACTAATAAAGGGAAGAAGAAGACGAAAATGACGTTACATGAGTTCACGATGGCAGGGTCTGGAGGTCTAGGCGGTGGCGCTTCGTCTCGTGAATTGGCTTATGACCGTAAAGGATTGACTCCTGAAGAAATGATGCGGCTCCCGACCGGGCCAAAAGAGCGTTCGACGGAGGAAATGCAATATGGGAGGCTCGGAGGTGGTTTCTCGTCCTATGGAGGTGGTCGCGGAGGGCCGAGGATGCGTGATAGGGAGGGAGAAGGCGACGCTGCATGGGGTAATAATCGGAGATCTTATGGTGAGTTTGTTGATGATCGTAGAGTTTCATCTCCTCGGATTTCGGAATATGATCAACCATCTAGGGCAGACGAGGTCGATAATTGGGCAATGACGAAGAAACCTATGACGCCTACTTATGACGCTCTCACTAGACCTAACCGTTACGGTTCTCTCGATGGAGGTGGTGGCGTTGGTGGCGGAATTTCTAGAGCTGACGAGATTGATAATTGGGCTGCGAGCAAGAAGCCCATGCCACCCGCCAGGTCTTCTAATTTCGGTCCTGGTTTTCGGGATTCCGGTGGTTCTGAAGACGATCGTTGGAAAAGGGGCGTTATGACTCGTGATGGTGATCAAGAACGACCAACGGAACGCCGGCGTTTAGTGTTAGATCCACCAAAGGGTGACAGTGCTCCAGTTGAGCCATCGGCGCACACCAATAAACCGAGTCCTTTTGGGGCAGCTAGGCCCAGGGAAGAGGTATTGGCTGAGAAAGGTTTGGATCACAAGAAGGTGGATTTGGAAATTGATGCTAAGAAAAGTAGCAGTCGGCCCACGAGTTCACATTCCGGCAGTTCAGTAGAGGGCCGGACTGCATTGCAGCCTCAGGGATTAGAGAAGACAAGGCCTAAGGTGAACCCTTTTGGCGATGCTAAACCCAGAGAAGTCTTGCTTCAAGAGAAAGGTATTGATTACAGAAAGATTGATGTAGAGTTGGAGCGTCGTCGGCTTGGCAAGTTAGTATTCCTATCTATTATCTTCTATTCTTCTCTTGACACTTGATGAACATCTCTGATCTCTGGCTGTGTGAAATTGGGTATTCCATTGAAGCATCATCATCATCATCGAGAAACTGTAGAAATATTGCATGTTAATCTTTGTACTTGGTCTTTTGGTAACCTTTGGTGTTTCTATTGTGAAATTTAAGTTGTCAAGAGCTACCCAGGTGCTAAGGAAGTAGGAAAGTGTAAGTAAATACTAAATATGGGTGAGTGATGAGTGCAGTGTATCATAAAAGGAAAGCTAGGTTAGCAAATCTTTAAAGACAACATGAACATGAGAAGGTGATTCTTGTTTATCACAATATTTCAGGAGCATTGGGTGCTTTGTTGGTTATAATGGAAGCAAATGCACCCACACCCTAGAGAAGATTGCATGTTCCTCCATGATTCTGAGTCTTCTGAAAACAAGTAACCTTCTTTTTTGAAATGGTGAGCATCCATAAACTGAGATAGTTCACATGAATCTTTTTGTATCTCTGAGTCTGACTGGTGAAAACGTAGTAATTTTCTTTGTGGTTGAATGAAAACATATGAAGTCATAATAAATTGTTGACACAAATTACAATAAGCGCCTTTGAAGCAAGCCTGTGCTTTACGTTGTATCGTTGGTTTACTTATCAGGTCTTAAAGGGTGGTGTGACGTTTTGATTGTTTATTTGTAATTTGGTATGGAATGGAAACTTATTGAGTAAATTAGATTATAAAAATTGACCCTTTTTAATTTTTTGTCAGGTGTGACACAGAAGAAGCGATAAAGAATTTGAAGGAAGAGATAGATAATATGAAGAGAGAATATAATTCTGGTTCAGATGCAAACAACCAATCTAATGGAAATGGAAACCAAAGCAGTAGTAGTTTAAGTGACAGAATACTTGAAAAAGAACGGAAACTGGAACAACTTAACCATGATCTAAATTACAAAATCCGGTTCAGTCAAAAACCAGTTGAAAGAACTGGTTTCGGGTCGATTGATGATTCCAAAAGTGTTGACTCATCAGAGACACGTGGCAGTAACAGAGATCATTCATGGGTAAGAAAAGGTGATGACAGAGGAGGGTTTGGAAGGTATGTTTAATGTTTATCATCTCAACTCATTTGGTACAAACATCAAACATTTTATGTGTTTAAAATTAAGGGAATCTTGTGAATTTTGCAGATCAAACTCAAAGGAAAGATGGTGAAAGCTGCTGTCGACAAGTATAGATCAGATTGACATTTTTTCTTTTTTTGGTAACTTTTACACACACTTATATATATGTTGTCTGTTCTTTTTAATGATTGAGATTTGAGACTATGTAAAGTTGCACAAGCTGAGTCTTTTGTTTACCTTCGTTGTTTTATTTCTTTTGCGCTTTAGAATTTAGGTAGGGTGTTAGATTCGTAAAGTCTATTTGGAAGGAATGAAATTGTGGAGGCAACTTGAAATTGAATTAATAAAAATTTTGAACATATATCAAAATCTAACCGAATTAAATATTGCAAAGCAATAAAAGTGAATGGGCGTGTGACGTCGTAAGCGATAACGGGTCGGGTGGGCTTCATGTCTATTATATTTTAGTGCTAGTTTTAGTAGTTTGTTTGAAAGCAAAAGATCCAATCATACTGAAGGCTTCAGTGACTGTATCTGTAACCCTCTTTCTTTCACCGATAGCCATGGACCACGATGGCCGGAAAACTCCTCTACCAAAACCTTCTGTTCAATTCTTACTATTTATATTAGCAACTCAGCTTGTAAATGCCACTATCAGCACGTCGTCGTGTGATTTTCCGGCAGTTTTCAACTTCGGCGACTCTAACTCCGATACTGGTGGCTTGTCGGCGGCGTTTGGGCAGGCTCCTCCGCCCAATGGAGAGACTTTCTTCCATGGTCCGGCTGGTAGGTACTCCGACGGCCGTCTAGTCATCGATTTTATAGGTATGCGACTCCACCATTCACGTGAATCCTGATCCTTTTGGCGCAAGCTTCCAAAAATCAAAACAACGGAAGATCCGCATTTGTTGTGTCGTTTGTGAATTAATTATTGTAATATCCAAAAAAAAATACAAATTATATTTAATATTTAATATCTAATTACAAATAAAATAATCAAGAAATTCCAATTTTTACAGCACAGAGTTTGGGGTTACCCTACCTTAGTGCATACCTAGATGCTCTGGGTTCCAACTTCAGTCATGGAGCCAACTTCGCCACCGGTGGTTCCACCATTAGACCACAAAACACGACACGTCATCAAAGTGGTTTGAGCCCCATTTCATTAAATGTTCAATCATATCAATTCAACGATTTCCATCTTAGAACTCAAACTATTCGCAAAGGTAACACCACACCCAAACAAAATAATACTATATATTACATCCTTATGTTCTTTCATTGTTATAATTGCATATAATTGAAACAGCCGGTGGGATATTTAAGGAATTACTTCCTAAACCCGAAGCATTTTCACGTGGTTTATACACATTTGATATCGGACAAAATGATTTGACGGGTGGTTTGTTACTAAACTTGTCTACCCAACAAGTTAAAGCATCCATTCCCGACATCTTAGGCCAATTCAAAACCGTAGTTAAGGTGAGGGTTTGTAACCTTTTTATTTTTAAATCACAAAATGGCTTCAAATTATAAAATTTGTGTCTAAAATAATCGTGCTTCTTATTATGATTTTTTTTTCTTTGGGCTATGTTTTCCCCGTAGAATGTACACGATAAAGGAGGACGATATTTTTGGATACACAATGTGGGCCCGATTGGGTGTCTACCATACGTGCTGGAACATTTACCAATCACAGCCCAAGAAATGGATAAAGTCGGATGTGGTAATCCGTTTAACGAATTAGCCCAGTTTTTTAACAGTAAATTGAAAGATCTTGTGGACCGATTACGTGAAGAACTACCCGAAGCTGCAATCACTTACATTGACATCTATAAAGCCAGATACACACTCATTAATCAAGCAACCAAATATGGTAAATATAGAAAGTTAAACACAAAAAGTGTTTTATTTTAGTTTTAATGGTTGTATATTTGTTGAAAATATAGGATTTGAGCATCCACTTAGAGCTTGTTGTGGGCATGGCGGGAAGTACAACTACAACACACAGGTTGGATGTGGAGGGAAGGTCAAATCATGTAAAGATCCTTCGGTTATGATCATATGGGATGGGATTCATTATACTGAAGCTGCCAATAGATGGGTTTTCGATCATATTGCAAACGGGTCATTTTCTGACCCATCACTCTCGTTACAAATGGCTTGCCATAGGAATTGAGATCAATAAAATTGTACAAGCACAGCTCTAATCATTAATGACATTTTATGATCGGTTTCATTTTGGCCGAATGGAATAATCTTTCATATCAATATTTTGATATTATATGTAAATACGATGTATAATTTTAATTATTATCAACTATTATTTACAAAAAATAAAATATCAAACATACAGCAACTCATTAAGCTAGATTCAAATGAATGTTAGGTTCAAGGAGATTCAAAAATAAAGAATAACTTCCTATCAGTTAAAGCTTACCAGAATTTTCTTTTTCATAATTTTCATTTGTTTTGTTGTATCAGCTTCATCGGTAACTGATTACCATTAAAAAAAAAGTTCAAACGTATTAATGATAACTAGAAAAGATTCCCCTTGCAACGCATGGGGTTGGAAGGTAAGTTGAAAGTGAGATACTACAATTAATAGAGAACAGAAAGTACATTGCGAATAAATGGTTGACCCCTTGGAAGGGCTTCATCAACAA